TTTTTTTTTTTTTTTTTTTTTTTTTTTTTCAAACGCGGTAATCATCCGTGGATCGGTTTCGCTTTCGAAATCCAAATCCCCACCGTATCGAACCGAAGATTCGATGAAACGGGCAAAGACAAATTGGAATTACTGTAACGGAGAAGGGGGGAGGGGAGAGAAGACCGGACTCCTTATTTCCGTTCCCTTTAAAGCGGAGGCAGGGAGGGAAAAAAACGCAGCCCGAAGGGTTTCCAAATCGCTCGCTTCGCGCAGTTCCTTCTCTTCCAGTCTCTTGTGTCCCTGGAAAACTATCTCTATCCTCTTCTCTCTCTCTCTCTCTCTTTTTTTTCTTCACTTCTCGAAACTCACCGCAAGCTTTCATCTCCCCCTTTTCCATCTCGGGCCTCGAGATTCATCCGATTCTCGTCCGCGAAGATTTCAATCTTGTTTGGTCGAGGTATCGACACGTTCTCATCTTCCTCTCCCGATATTCCCGAGCAACCTGCTCCCCTTTCCTACGTTTCCCTCTCTCGCACGTTCGCCGACGCGGGAGTGAAAGGGAGAGAGGAGAATGGTCGATGTCTATATATCGATCGGTCAGGGCGAATCGAGTGCAGGCTCGAAGGAAATTCCCGGTCGCTTCCGCAGGAAATTCGCGGAACGAGGGACTCTTCGCACCCCTCTTCCATCCTTCCTCTCTTCTTCTTTTCTTTTTCCTCCTCTCTCTCTTTCTCTCTCTCTCTTTCCAAAAATTCGTCTAACATAACGTCGATAGATACGCGTCTCTTAACTAAGCGAGAAAGTCTGGCGAAAGACAAAGGAAAGGAAAGGGGTGAAATTCGACCGCGGTGTCCTTCTATATTTCTGGAAAAGACTTTTCCAGTCTATGAATATATTAAAAGCAAACAAAGCGGAGCGCGGCTCCTCTCGTAATCTCTCTCTCTCTCTCTCTTCGTACCAAAGGACGCAACGCTCGTCCCGTTTATTAAACCGTCCCGCAAACGCTTTCTTAAGTACTTTAAGTTAAGCTTCGTCGTTACCCTCGAAAGTCCTGGCTGGTGTCTCGTCTTCTCCCCCTTCCCCGCCCCTCGTCGGATCCTCCTATCACGATGAGGGAACAATTAAAATCGCGTCCATCGTCGGTCCAAAGCGCCTCGGCTGTCGTAGTTAAATAACTTAACCCGAGGGCCTACTCCCTTCGGACGATCAAATTAGATATCAATATTATCGCCACGCTTAGCTTAGAGGAGTAGCTTTCCTCGTCTCTGAGACGAGTTCGAACGATTGTCTCTCATTTTCAATACACATTTCGTTTCTCCTCACTTCGTAAAATTCTCTCTCTATTTTCTTTTCTTTTTATTCTTCCTCTTTACAGACCGAGATCTGCTCGAGTGCTCTGACGGACGTGATCCACGCGGTCATCAACGGAACGGACGGCTGCCTCTTCTGCTTCGGGCACGCGGGATTAGGTGAGTGTTCACGATTATCTAACGAGATGTTCGCAATATCTTGAAGGGAATAAAAAAACGGGTTAAACATTTTTCATCGTCCTATCGCAAGGGATGACAACGTCTTCTCGTTGCCTTATTTCCCTTCCGTTCATTGTTCCGACAAAGTTTAACGTCCTCGTGAACAAACCGCCATTGTTCGTCCCTCATCTTGGCAGAGCATGGACAAACAATTACATAAAATGCTATACTCTGTTTTTCTCATTCGAGAAAATCAGATGATACAAAGAAAAAAAAAAGAGAAGAAAGAGGAAAATTTATTTACGTTTGAAATGAAAATTTCTCAAAATTGCTTATCCTATTTTCATCGTAATTTCCCTCTGATCCTTGAGACGATGAAATCATCACGCCATCGACGAAGTTGATTGTTAGGTTATAATATTAAAAAAGGAAAAAAAGGAAAAAAACTAATAAAAGTTCGGTAATAGGCGGATACAGGGAGCGGTAAGCGCGAAAAAGGTTAATAAAAACTTGGTGGGATAAAGTTTGCCTTTTTCTAATTACGCGTACACCGTGAAAGAATACGAAATCCGATCCACTGAATTTTCAATATCTCTCTTCCGTAACTCCGACGACGAGTTCTCCTTCCATCTCTCGAGCGAGGAATTAGCAATTCACAGGCGCGACGTAGATTCTTTATTTACACGTATCCTCGAGTAGCAGCGTCCATTTTCTCAGCCAGCCGGTTCGCCGCTCGCCGTTTTCATCGCCGCCCCCTCCAAGGAGGGAAAGAAAGAGCACCGTCGTCGTCCGAGACGCGCTCGCGAGTTGTTTTACATTTTAAGTAGTGATATCGAGTTTGCATGCAAATGCATGATTATGCGAGGAAACCGAGGGGAAGGAAGGTTTTCTCGGGTCGACGACAAGGAGAGGCGAGAGCCGCGAGGCGGGAAAACGAGGGAGGGGGAGGGGAAGAAGAAGAAGAGGAGGAGGAGGAAGAGGACGAAAAGGTGGAGTCGAAAGGAAACGAGATAATGTATGCTACTGGGGCACGAGCTTTCTTGCCACCCTCTCTTTCTACTTTTCGCCCCTTCCCACCCTCGCTCCATTCGCCACCCTCCACTCTTCCACCTTTCGAATCTTAACGCATACCGGAGATTATCTTCGCCTCGTCTCGCTGTACTTTCAGCGGAAATAACTTCCGCGCTGACGGATTTATGGGAAGCCCGCTCGGAGAGACCGGTTGTTAAACCTCGCCGCCATGTTCTTCTGTACACATACATCGTAACGTGGC